CTGCAACTTGGTCTGGTTTGGTCTCCATAAAGATAGAAAGGTTTAATACTGTTCCTTGAAATATTCCAGACAATAACATCTCCATGGAGACAAGCATTTGATGGACACTCCACCAGAAAGTTACACAATGCACCTTTAATGTCTTCTACAGTTAAAGGGCTCATATTAGTCTTTTTTCTGACCTGTTAGAATGTCCATCTCATCACAAACATTCCTGGAGTTGTGTTTTGTTTCATTCACACATGTTTAACACACAAAGCCCATACACTTAAGCTGTGTTTTTTTATTAAACTGAAAACACAGGAAATGCTCCACAGTGTTTTTAAACTCATACTCTTTTATGAATATGATTTGGATGATTTCAGACCTGGAATCTCAGGTAAAAGGCGGCTGTTCATGAGCATTTTGAGCTTTGGAGATGAACACAGACTAAGAATAAAGCATGTGTGAATGAAACAAAACACATCTCTAGGTTTGTTTTTGAGGAGGCAATAGCAGTATAAAGTGGCTTAAACCTCACAAGAGTCAATTTTGAGTAATCTCTAAAAAAGTAATCTGCCTCAATCACATACCTTCTACGAAAATGTACCAATCTGTCTTGATTTGTAGCAGGATTGTCAGCGAGACTCAAATTGCATGTTATTATAGATCATATGTGAAAAAAATAAATAAATACACACACTACTAGTAAAAGTAGTAGTAGTAGTAGAAGTAGTTGTAGAGCGCTTTCACACCGACAGCAGTTTGTGCACACCAAAAGTTCCATTTGAACCAAAAGCTCTTAGTTCGGTTCGTTTTCGATGGTGTGAAAGCATCAGTCGCACTTGGATCTGCACTACATCAATCGGACCAAGACCTCAAAATAGACGTGGTTTTAGTCCACATGATGGCATAAAATGAATGCTATAGTGTGGAACATTCCAGGTAAGAAGGTAACATCTCCTTGGAGAGTAGCAGGTGGTAAACACTCTAGAAAGGTTGCACAGTGCACCTTTAAACTTAGACAGAAATAAATTGATCTGTTGCACTGTGTTAAACTTTAAATGTCCCTCACTACATTGACTGTTGTGAGCTGTAAGCCATGTTGTTACCTCACCAGGTATGACTGTGATGAGGAAACAACATTATAACATGGATCAGAAAATTGCATAATACAGACCCTTTAAATGCACAACAATATTGACTATAATTGATGAATGATTTTAAATATGAGGCCTCCTCTGATCCTCCTCCGCTCCAGTTTGGCCTCTACAGCTGCAGATGCTGTAGTTTAGGGGAGGGCAGTGAAGAACTCAGGCAGTAAATAAGCAGTTACTCCCCCGAGCTGACTCTGCAGAGATGACCCTGAGACTTACGGTGGCCATTTTGGGACATTTATCATGTGCTCAAGTTTGGGCTAAACGGGGACTCCACTGTCAAACATCAAGTGAAGGGTTATGGGACTGATTTACAGCGTCTCAGATGGAGATTGCTTACAGCGCAGAAGCAACTTTGAACTCAAGTTGTCAAGTGTCCAAAGTGTAAAGACGTATTGAGATCAGAGCAAAGTGATAAATACATATGAAGCTGTGACAAGATACAAGATCAGAACAGCTAAAGTTGGACTGGCTCAAACTTGAGTGAAAAGATATGAATTCAAAGTGGATTTATGCTGATTTTGTTCATATAAAATAAAACGGTTGTCTCAGCAAAGTGATAAGAAATATGTTGGGACTTTTAGTATTAGCGATTAGCACCAAATCAAATGAAGATCTTTTATTGCAGTTCGTAGCGTGGCGTGATTATCGGCTATGAGAGGGGGATGAGAGAGGCACGTGACGGAGAGAGGGAGAGGGAGAGAAAGAGGAAGCTCAAAGTGATGCAGAGGATAAGTACTCCGAATATGACAAGTGGAAAATTGTATTTACTTGATGCTTTAATTCCGGACAAGTCAAGGACATTTGGGAGTTTTCTGTTAGTTACACAAGTACAACCAAACTATATGCAGTGTTGTGTTCTATTACAAGTTTTGTATAATGATATAACTCTGCAATTTTCTAAAATATTATGAAGACAGATGCCTTTTATTGTATTGCATTGCTAATCCATCTTTTTAATTTTGTATTCCTCTTTTGTTGACTTTGGTTTAGCAGTTTGTAATGCAGCTATTGGATAATCTGGAGGTCTTCTAAAAATCCTTAAAGTTAAAATGAAAAAAGCACTATGTAACTTTTGTGGTGAAGGCTCTGTTACCTGCTTATTTCCATGGAGTTTGTCTAAAAGATTCCACAGCATGGCATTAAATTCACAAGCAGGTGACACTACAAGGATAAATTACAAGTTAGATCTATGTTTTTAAGCTTGTTTTTACAGCCAAACTATATACCATACCAAACCAACTTTATTTATAAAGTGCTGTAAAAACTAACCAAAGTTCTGTACACAAACACAGAATAGACAAGGACAATCACAGTACAACACAATACACAAAAACACAGAAAACAATAAGATACTCAACAACAAGAAATGCACATCTCACTTGTTAAAAGCCAGTGAAAAAAGGTGCGTTTTTAGGAGTGATTTAAAAACTGGTACAGACTTCCCCGTCTAATCTGTAATGGCAACTGGGTCCACAGCCATGAGGCAGCAACAGAAAACACACAGTCCCCAGAAAGCTGTGTTTAGTCTTTGAGACGGCGAGCTGGAACTGGTGTGCTGATCTGAGAGTGCGAGAGGGGACATAAGGGTGGATCAAGTCAGAGAGGCAGGAGGGCATTAGGCCGTGCAAACACTTAAAAGTAAAAAAAAGAATTTTTAAATCAACTCTAAAAGACACTGGGAGCCAATGTATATGCATATATATAATATATGTAATTCAATACATGGACTATAGAAACTTAATACACTATGAAACAGGCAAAGCAAAAAGATCTACATGAAAACAGACATGAATGAATCACTTTTCTTCAGAAAAGTTACAGAGTGTACCTTTAAGAGTTGTAGTGAAATTTGCCATATGCATTTGACCCATCCTTCTATGCCACAGGAACATGGGACCATCTCCATATCTTGTTCAAGATTTGATCAGAACTTTCTTGTTGCAGAATTATCCATATTAGGTGTGATTGTGGTTGAGTCAAGTGGCCATGGTCTGTTTACAGTAAGAGCTCTCAAGTTGGAACAATGTATTTTGGGGCTCAGTGTTTATCGTGTGTACATTTTCTTTGTAATAGTTGAGAGATTTCTGCCATTTTAATGCAATAAGGTAAGACTGTAGCTTTCTAATTATTGATTCATTAGCTTTTTATTTGTTGCAGCTCAGGCCTTTTTAATAATACTGCCTATTTAAAAACTGGTTTACAGGGATTATCCTGCTTTGTGTCAGTGGCATAAAGTGGTTTATCACAATATTTCTCTGTAATGATATATCATGCTTTAAATTGTGTTACAGTGACAGGGCTATAGTCTTAAATTCAGTTTATCCAGCTTCTGAACAAAAACCTTGCTCAAGATCTCCTCAAATTAGCACAATAAAGATTCAAGCCAAAGGTGTTCATTTTGTCTTCTTATATACTTTCACTTCTTGGGTTCTTTTTAAAGACAATGCAGTAAAGTGTGTTTACCTTGTTGACATGTTTCGGCTGCTAGCTGCAAGCCATCTTCAGAACTGTCACCGGTGTTGGTGGCTGTAAAAGGAACAACCACAATATGGATTGGGGGGGGCTCGGGTCATTGGATCAGAAAACAACAAGTTCAAACGCTGGATCAAGGAGGCCATTGAAATCAGGAAACGATGCACGGACAGCATTAACCGTGATAACGGCGAGTTCTTCCTTTCACACACCTGGGACACCCTCCTCCAGAGAACATCGGGCGACGGGAGTCTGAGTGACCTGCAGGTTCATCAGGCTGACCACGCCTACAGGAAGTAACAACAGCTGATATACGACACGTCAAAACCAACACCGGCGACAGTTCTGAAGATGACTTGCAGCTAGCAGCCGAAACATGTCAACAAGGTAAACACACTTTACTGCATTGTCTTTAAAAAGAACCCAAGAAGTTAAAATAAAGATTAAATATTACACAAAACTGACTGTTACTTCCTCAAAAACATGCCTGAAAATGCTCTGTTCCACCTTGTGATGTCATGTAGTGGTAGTTTTCAAGTTAACACTTACCTTTTACTTTTAGCTCAGTAGAGAGTGGCAATTCCAGCTCTGAAATGATCCAAATGATTCTAGTGAAGGTGTATGGAGTTTAAAAACACAGTGGAGCACATGACATCACAAGGCAGAACAGAGTGTTTTCAGTTTAAAACAAGAACTCTGCCTAAATATGCAGGTTTGTGTGTGCTTAATATTTGTGAATGAATAAAAACACAACTCCAGGACTATTTTTGATGAGGAAACAACATCATAACAGAGATCAGAAAATAGTGTTATATGGGCCCTTTAAAGGTTGGGTCAAATGTAGTAGGACAATAACGTGTGGCCCATAATCTTGAGTCAAATGCATTATCAAAACGCATATTCTAAAACAATTTGCCCATGAAACCACCTTCAGTTATCTCTTGTATTCTTTCAAACCCTCTAATCTCCTCTTTTCTCTATTGACTCAATTCTTTGCTATATAATTTCTCCCTGAAGCCTATCCTGAAATTCCCTGGTGTATCCCTGTCTGCCTCTTGCCCCTGTGTGGGGTATTAAACCATCCGCGGCGCTCCCCTCCCCCCGTTTGACCCAGTTTGGAGGGGGGGGGGGATGCCGGGGTAAATGATCGCGAGTACCACTGAGAGGGGAGAGAGGCAAGATGCTGCGTCTCTCTCGTTTTTTTCCTCCTCGTGCTTTTCATCACAGCCTCACACTCCACTGAGCAGACGCTGTGATGAGAGACAGAGCGGGAGAGTGGAGTTTTTTACCCTTTTTATTTTATTTATTTATTTCATAATCTGCGGAGGGATGTCGCGTTTTGTACCAGGAGTCAGCCGGGGCGGAGGGCCGTGACGAGGCAGTGACAGAGACATGAGGGGCCCCAGGTTCAGACACAAAGAGGAGCTATGGAGACTGGAGAGTGAGTAGATACAGTATTGTTACTATACTTTGATTTTTACTTGATGAAAACATGCTTGAAAAAGAAAAAAATATATATATGTAATTAATTTTCAGTTGAGGTATTAGTTTGTGTATCTGCTTATGTACTTTTGTCACAGTTTAGTTAAAATCAGTGGTGGAAAGTACAGATACTTTCTCTCAAATGCAGTGAAGTAGCAGTAAAATGTACTTAAGTATACTATTTTTTAGATCTCTGTACTTTACTTCACTAGATTTTAAAGAGGATACTTTTTTACTTTTACTTCACTACATTTGAGAGCAGATATCTGTACTTTCTACTACTTTTTTAACAGGATTGAAAAGTAAGTAGTAAGATTTTTTTATTATTATGATTGGGTGAGACTTGCTGAAATGTTCATAGTTTGAGCCAACAAAAATATACAAATAAAAGCAGCTAGAACAAAAAATCAATTCAGTTGTTTCTGTTGAACAAAATTCAGCACATCTTTATTAAAATCACCACATTTGAAGCTTTATAAGACGTCAGAATCTACACAGAATACTTTGACTTTGTTTCTGAGAAGTGAATAATAAAGAATAATAAAGAAAAGGATATCCATGCCAATTCTGATTCTACAATTACAATGAAAAACACTCCTATATTGATTTTATAAACTTTTAGCCATGTTATAATGCTGTTAATTTTTCTTTTGTTTAATTTTTGTTTGTGTAACCCTTTATTATGAGTCTGTCTACGTCTCCAAAGATCAAAATGCTCTGTTCCACCTTGTGAGATTGGCAATTCCAGACTTTAAATTATCCAAACGATTGCAGTGAAGTTGTTTACAGTATAATTTTCCCCCAAATTTACAGCATTCAAACAAGAAATGAACCCAAATTACTCATTATTTATTTATTTTATTTATTTCAATCTCTCTTTTTTTTTTTCACTTTTCTTTCCCGTGTAACTCCAAACACAGTCCACAGATGCAGATCCGCCCCAGAGCCTGTTCCTGTACCATATGGAAGTACTTTCTTGTGTTCTACCCTTTAGTCACTGCTAATGAGACACTTTTCCCACGGACAAATTCTAAACAAATCCTGCGTTTTTCCTCGAAAGAATGGCCCTTTCTCTCACCTCCTCACCAGCCCGGGGTCCTACATATGGCTGCCCCAAAATGTCCACTTTTTGTTTATTTCTTCGTGGCAAATTCCTGAATCACAAAAGGCTCAAACTGGGCAGAGGTCCAACCCAATCCATAGAACTGTATTAATGTTAAATAGCTCATTGCTCAAAGTGAGTTGTGTAGTTTTGTCTTTTATGTTGTGCATGGAAATACTTATGACAAACAGTGTGGCGTAGATTAGTGCAAATGGGACGGATCAGAGATGGATAACCCGGTGGCATGTGTCTGTAATCACGCTGTTTTGGAGAGGAAGGACCACAAATGTTGATTAAACTGAAATTTGAGTTGGGTTTTAGTGTAGTCTATGTTAAAGGCGTGTCTTATTAACCGTCCTAATTATTCGTCACAGACTCTCTGAAAATATCACGCTTTATAATTAGATGCAGACAGTACACAGATTTATTTTGACTACTTAGAGCTGCTCATGCAGTACATCTGCACTGGACAGGACACATTTTGCTCAAATACAACAAAACTAGTAGGGATGTAACAGTAACTGAAATATCATGATATCGTATCGTCAAAGTTCTCACAATAACATCGTGGACCATCACAAAATATCGAATTACAAGTGTCTGTCTTAAATGAAGAATTATGGTGCAGCAATAGGTAAAAAAGACAGAGGGAACTACATAGACCATGATTGCTCCATTTCAGTGCCGACTACATGAATAAATATTATAGGTATAAAAGTATTTTAAGAGAAAAAGGTAGAATATTAAAAGTTTTAGCTGTTTAGCCTTCACAAAATATTGCAATAAATATCGTACCATGAGATGTATATCGTGAAAATATCGTACAGAGAGATTTGGATATTGTTATATCTCTAATCATGAGCCTCCCCTCCATATCGTGAGCTTTCCCACGATATCGCAATAAATATCGTACTGTGAGGTTCATACTATGAAGATATCGTATCATGAGACTTGGATATCGTCACACCCCTAATCAAAACTGTACAAACATTAACTATACAACTCTCGTAAAGAGGGCTGTGGGTGAGCTTGGAGTAAATGTAAATGACAGAATTTGGGGAAATGATCAAAATGGGCCCATAGATCCATAGATATCAGCTGAGCTTATCTTCCATCAGTTCCTCTAGATTCAGTGGCCATGAAAAAAATCTCTCTCTGCATACAAAATTGGATAAGCAAGTTTGTCTTAAAGCTGTATTTTTTTCTGGTGGAGGGGCCACTCCCTGCTTTTCTCTATGTAAATACAGATAATTGCTTTTGTCTGGAATGCTCCACTGTACGGCTTTTATCTCTGTTGCATTTATTTAATTACTGGCATTTTTATTGCTCGAAAATACCTTGTAAAACCTCCTTTATTTATTACTGTGAGCTTTCTTCACATCCTGTATCTGGCTCAGAACTTGGCCTGGTGGTGTCCCCTGCTTGTCACTATAGAGACGATATAGTTAAATGCCATACTGTGGAACCTAGAATGCACAGAGACACATGCTGGTTGGTGTTTTCATAGAGATGTTCTAAGGTAGAAATGCCAGTCGTTATTATAGTGAATAGATACTTCAGACTACGCTGATTATGTCATTTGATTACAGGTGATTTTTAGACGTTTCAAACCCGAACTTGAGTCCTCTGAAGAGAATCGTCAGATAAAACTGTCATTTACATTAGAGACATAATCTGCAGAGCTGCTGGCTACTGCTGCAGTTTTTGGCAGAGTCGGTGTGAGCTTTTTATCAGGCTCTTGTCTTATTACTTTGACTTCCATTTTTGGCTTTTGCTCACAAATCAGAGTCTTAAAGGTGCACTGTGTAACTTTTCTGGTAGAGGACCTGCCAGTTACCTGTTTCCATGGAAATGTTATAGCTTTAGCTCCAGTATTCCAAAGCACAGAATTTTACTTTTCAGTTTCCATTGAAAAAAAACTGGAGATGCCACAGGTGAGATCTGTGAAGCGGTCACCCCACTCACAATAAGAATGCATATTTTTAAAGCTTTTTTGAGGAATAAAAACACAGATAATCGAATAATATGATATTGTGGAACATTACAGGCAAAGCAATAGCATCTCCATGGTAGCGGACGCCCAACCTGAAAAGTTACGCATAAACCTTTTTCTGCTTGAGTAGAACAAACATTGCCAACATTTTACAAGAATTATTATTGACACAATTTACATAAAGAAACATACAGACGCAGCGTATTGTGTGTTGTATGTGCATTAACCTCTGGAAAAGAGAAGAGTTTGATTCTCAGACTTTGTGGGGCCTTTTTGTTCTGTTGGCAAAGGTCCCAATCAAATTAAAGCATGGACAAGCAGATAAACATAGGTCCTATCTGTGTAAGACCGTTTGTCTCTGTAGCAACCAAATCTCAATCAAATACACAAGACCAAAGTGATTACTGTGACGATAAACTTAAAGCTGCACTATGGGACGTTTCTGGAAGTGGTCTGCCTCCTCCTTGTCTTATGAAGATGTGATTGCTTTGTCTGGAATGTTCCTCAGTATGGCATTAAACTTATTTTGCATGTAATCAATTCCATGTGTTTTCTATTGTTAAACAAGTACAGTAGAAAACATGTCATCTTTCTGTGAACAGTCTCACCTCTCCAAAGATCTGACCTGTAACTTGGCCTGGTAGCATAACAATCCATGCAAAGGAGTAACATCTCTATGGAGACAAGCAGATGGCCAGAAAGGTTACACAGTGCACCTTTATATAAGTCAGTACCAACAACAGAATATGAAATCATGCCTTTTTGTGGCCATAGCAAGCTTTGTCAGATATCACAAGCTGAGCCAGACCTGAGTAGTAATTGGATGGGAGACCATTGGGAATACCAGGTGTCATTGTGTCCTTTGGCAAGACACTTCACCCTTCACTCTTTGAGGATCTAAAAATCCAGTGCATTAGTAACATTTTCCCGCTAGGTTGTGGCAGTGAACCACAACTCTTGAAGCATAATTTATTCCCAAATAATACTTTTTAAGTTCAATAGTTCACATTAGGCCAATCACTTTAATGTCTATATGTGAACGTAGAGGCTTCACCTAAACAGTGGGAGAATTATCTAAAGTGTAAAGTCAGATGAGGGCGTGCGTCCAGCAGTGATCAGCAGGTTCAGATGCCAAACTCGTCATGAGGAAAAACGCTGACCATTTCTTTGATTCGATCACCGCTTTAGTGCCTTTTACAGTCACTTTAAAGCCACTCAGATTGAACTCATCGACAAAAAGATGAGTGATGATCGGGGACACTTACTGATGTCAGGATGTGAATGAGTAAGTGCAGGGAGGAGAGCTTAAACTAAACTAATGCAGTAACTTTTGTATGAGAGTGTGTTACCGGAGTTTGAATGACATCACCGAGTGTGATCTATGGGTTTCTAGGAAGTGTAGTCACAGAACAAAAAATTCTAATTTGATTGCGATGAGAAAGAAAAGGCTTGATATCCATGCCAATTTCACTACCACAATAAAAACAATCTATTTTAAAGGTCCTATATTATATTATAATGCTGTTACCTCATTGAAAATATACCTTGAGTTGTGTTGTGTTTTGTTTCATTTATTCATGTTTGAGTAAACCTTTATTAGTAATCTTTCTACATCTCCAAAGCTCAAAATGCTCTGTTCCACTTTCTGTCATGTAGTAGTAGTAGTTTTCAAGTTAACAGCTGCAGCTTTTACCTTTTGTTGAGTAGAGAGTGGCAATTCCAGGGCTGAAATGATCACAATTATTCTAGAGAAGGTGTGTGAAGTTTAAAAACACAGTGGAGAACTTCCTGTATTACCACATGACATCACAAGGTGGAACAGAGTGCTTTCTGTCTGTGTGAATGAAACAAAGCACAACTCCAG